GCAATATTTAGAGACTTACAGAAGGTGCAGTGATGTGCTGTAATTTCCATTCTCTTGACTCACTTCAACTCTGTCATGAGTTTAGCAGATCTCTAGGCTCCTGTCTTGGTTACTCTGACCAACATGGTGTGCCCAGCCTCAGACCATCAATAGTATTTATCTTGCATTTCAGTCCATAGCACAGATAAAACATCTGGTTAGAGGAAGAACTGGCAGATTAATGGGCAAATCTTGTGACCATGTCACCTGGTTGGATTATCTCAGCTACCTTCTATTCACCCTAGACATGCATCTTGGGGTCTCACAGCCACCACAGTACCTGTAATGAGACTCATGGAAGTGGATTAATGCATTGCTGATGGTGGTAAAGAAGGCATGATGTCAATTATTTTGTCTTTAAATGGTGAGATTTTTTTAAGGTGAAAATGATGATATGATTTTGTTTATTTTTTTGGCTATAATTTTGCAGTTTGCCCAAACACACTGTACAGCAATCACAGGGATGTAAGTCAAAGGCATAGTAATGTTCTTTTAATGAAAGTACTGGTATGGTGAAGTGCTCAGAAGGTTTCCAGCACTAGTAGCTGAGGGCCAAGAGAGGCAGCTGAAGAAGCAAGTTGGATTGCAGACGCCCTGGATGTATTCCTAGCTTTGCCATTCTTGCAGTTCTTTGTTTCATCTGAATCAGAAGAGATGAAGGTGTGAGGATTTTACATGCATGCTCTGCATTTCTTGGTGGCTCAGGGAGCCTCCTGTGTAGACATCACCTCTCAGGACAGATGGGATGATACAGAATCACAGAAAGAGTCATAGAATCATTAAGGTTGTGTGCTGGTTTGAGCTGCAGTAGAGTTAACTTTCTTCACAGAGGCTAGTATGAGGCTATGTTTGGGGTTTGTGCAGAACACAGAGTTGATAATGCAGAGATGTTTTTGTTATTGCTGATGTTTTAGTTATTACATAGAGTCCAGGCCTTTGCTGCTTTCCATACCGCCACGGTGGCAAGGAAGTTGGGGGTGCATGGGAGACTGGGAGGAGACACAGCTGGGACAGGTGACCCAAACTGACCAAAGGGATATTCCATACCACAGCACATCATGCTCAGTATATAAGGTGGGAGGAAGAAGGAGGAAGGGGGGACATCTGGAGTGATGGTGTTTGTCTTCCCAAGGAACCGTTACGCGTGATGGGCCCTGCTCTCCTGGAGATGGATAAACACCTCCTGTCTGTGGGAAGCAGTGAATGAATTCCTTGTTTTGCTTTGCTTGTGTGTGCAGCTTTTGCTTTCTCTATTAAACTGTCTTTATCTCAACCCATGAGTTTTTGTAGCTTTTACCCTTCTAATTCTCTCCCCCATCCCGTTGGTGGGGGAGTGAGTGAGAGGCTGCTGGTTCTTGGCTGCTGCTGGGGTTAAACCACGACAGGGTGGAAAAGACTTCCAAGATCATTGAGTCCAATCTTCAGCTGAACATCACCATGCCAACTAAACCACAGCACTAAGTGCCACATCCAATAGTTTCATGAACACTTGATTCCATCACCTCCCTGGGCAGCCCATACCAACGCTTAACCACCCTCTCAGTGAAGGAGGTCTTGAGTCTATGTCCTTTTGTCCTGTCTCCAGCAGCCTGTGAGAAGAGGCCAAGCCCCTCTGTTCATCTAGTTCCTCTTATAGTGCCTCTTTTGACATTTTACATTGGATGTCCCTAAGTCAGCAGAGCAGTGTCTGTGAGTCCTCAGGCAAACCTGAGGCCCAGGCAGAGGGACACCAGGTCCCCTGGGAGACCTGATGAGCAAGGCAGAAATGTCAATGGTTTGGAGATACAACTCATAAGGACATCTGGGGTTTTTTGACACTTTTTTGGACACTGTGAAATCCATAAGTTCATGATAACTGAACTACTAGTGTAGTTCAGAGTTTTGGCTATTTCCTGTTTCCAGTCAGGCTGTAATCAGGAAAAGCCAAATTCTGGCCTCCCAGCACCACTGATAACTGCAAGGGGAACAGGAGCAGAGACCTGTGAAGCTGGAACACTCTTTGTAAAGGATGACCACACAGAGATAAACACACTCCTGGATTCTACAATACACTCAAAATACAGGTGGAACTGTCCCAGCTGATCCTGTTTGCCTGTCCCCACTACCAATGAGTTAGCTATTTGATAGTCTAACAACTGCAATGAAGCACGTGAAAAGAGTGAGTGGTGGGTTAGCTATTTGATAGTCTAACAACTGCAATGAAGAGTGAGTGGCTGAATAGGACAATAGTTGCTTCTTATTCTGTGTAGAAATCAATCCCTCTTAACATTTCAAACTCTACCCCTAAGCTCTTTGGGTTTCAGTATGCTCTTCTGCTTTTAAACACTTAGGGACACAAACAAGCCTATTAAGTAGGAATAGCTTTGAAAACTTGGTGTTTGATAGTCTAACAACTGCAATGAAGAGTGAGTGGCTGAATAGGACAATAGTTGCTTCTTATTCTGTGTAGAAATCAATCCCTCTTAACATTTCAAACTCTACCCCTAAGCTCTTTGGGTTTCAGTATGCTCTTCTGCTTTTAAACACTTAGGGACACAAACAAGCCTATTAAGTAGGAATAGCTTTGAAAACTTGGTGTGAAACATGTCCTTGAAAATATGGTTCACATAAGATCAGGGAGACATGAAGGAGACGAAACAACACTTGGAGCAGCTGTCTCTGACCACAGCTCCATGAGAACTACACTCTCCCCAATACGATTACACTGCTTTGACTGACCAAACAGCCAGACTGAAGCAGTGAGCACAGGCAATCACTTGATGACATGCTGCACAACACAGCGAGAACAAGCAAAGATGCTTCTGGACTTAATGCTTAAGCTGTAGTCAGTGGAAATATGTCTGTTTGTTTCTGTAAAAGTTGAGTCATGACTTAAGTGAGTAACACAAACTCAGGTTTTGTGTCACAGCTGCTATGTCTGTTGATGAGAACAGGTAGTAAGGGGGTCAGCAGAAATCAGTGTTAAGGCTTATCTCTCAATTAATGTGCTGAATTCTGGCATTAACAGTGCCTGAGTAACCTTTTAGTTGGACAGTGCATAACCACTCAAAAATTACCGACAGAGAAAGTTCGGTGACACCTTTTCACTGACATTTATACCTCCAGAACAGTGAGGAGCAGATGATAAGGAGGGCAGCAGTCTACAGAAAGCAGAAAAGGCCATAAGAAAGAGAACATGCTCTGAAGAATGTGTTGCCTAGTGAACAAGTGGGGACTGAGGTAAAATGTGATATTCAGGTAGAAGGTGATCATGAAGCTAAGCAATCAGGGAATATTTCAGAGAGCTCAGGAACTGAGGTAATGATACTTGTGGTGCAGTTTCAAAATGTGACAAACAATTGGTTGATGAATGCATAGTATTTACCTGCCAACCCACCCAGCAAAGCTCACTGAGGGCAGCAGAGCAGCCAACAGAATGGGACTACTTTTTGCCAGGATTAATTTGGGTAAGAAACAGTATAGATTTCTGATTTAACACTATGTGTACTTTGAAGGAGCACTGGAAAGATGAAACTGCCAGGCTGGCCAAGGTTTCCAAAATACCTGCAAAACACCCTGTGACAATCACTGCTATTATTGAGCTATGTTATTATGCCACTGGTTAATGGAGTTTGCAAACCAGAATTGAAGGACAGAGGTGGAGGATTATGGTGTATTTTATAATTTCTCACATTTGCCGTGTTTCCTTTTTGGAAACATAGGAAGGAAACCCCCAGGTTACCAAATATGACTCCTGGGTCCTGCAGGCAGTCACGTCATCTACAGGATTCATCTCTGTGCTGGTTTGAGCTGGAGTAGAGTTAACTTTCTTCACAGTGGCTAGTATGGGGCTGTGTTTGGGGTTTGTGGAGAGCACTGGGGTGGTAATGCAGAGATGTTTTTGTTAGTGCTGAGCAGAGCCTACACAGAGTCAATTGCATTTACACACTGCTTAAGGATCTGGAAGTGTTCTTTCATATAATATGCTTATTGTTATTACAGACATATTGAATTTAAATTATTTGCCTTGGGTCTCACAGCAAGTCAACAGTAGAATGACTCTTAGTGCTCCTAGTGCTTTGCATTAAATCCTGGACTTTAACAGCTCCCTTCATAATGGGAGCTTTGCAGCAGTAGATCACTTCCTGGTGCTGGTGAATCAAACCTTTCCTGATATCAGAAATAAATCAGTAAATTGCTTGAACCCATATAATGCTTCCCAGTGTTGGCAAATCCTGGTTTCCTTTGAATTTAGAAAACTGACACAAGTCTGAGTAGTGCTAAGATAGCCTTTGGCATATGACCAACTATGAAATTTTGATGTGCTAAGTATGTACCTCAGATCTATATTTTCTGTATTAATACAGCAGTAATTTATACATCTGTTCCAGGAAAACTTGAGAACTGTCACTATCCCTTGTACTGATGCAGGCATAAGTGAAAACAAACACAAACAATCAAAATCAATTCAAATATAAGCCTATAATAAGCAAAAATCCTTGACTTTTCTAGTGGCAGAATTGCTCTGACACAGGCACATTCCTTGTTATCGCTGTCTCCTCTGAATGGCATAGTCCTCATCAAAAATGAACTAAAAGGAGAAAATGGAGCATTCCTTTGTTTATGGGCTCCTTTCTGTAAGGAAAGGTGCAGTATCAAATAATGACCTGATTGTTCTGCCTTAGTCAATGTTATCATTGTCTCTAGCAAATTGACATGTTGGTATTTTCCCTTACATTTTGCCCTCTCATCTATGTCTCCTATGGAAAGGGCTGCAAATTGTACCCAATGATTTCAGGATACTATTTCCAAGCTTTTGCCTGTGGCATCTAGCTCTTTCTATGAGAAAGGAGTCGTTTGGTGGCATGGCACTCGCTGTAACATCAGAGGAACCACCTGGTAGGACAACAGCTACAGCAATACCCATCTCACTCAACGAAACGGTTCCTCCAACCTGGCTGTGGCTACCCAGGAGCTCTCACCTGTGGCAAATGGTGACATTTGCTCCTGCTGGGAATGTGGCTGGGCAGCCGAATGTTAAAGAGGGCCTGCAAGGCTGCCTGTGCTGCTTGACCCTTTGCCAGCTTCTTGCTACGTCCTGAGCCTTCAAATGTTCTCCCATCCACTCTCACCGCCATCACAAAGCTCTTGATGTGCTGTTTCTCCACCGTCTCCGACAGGCAGACGTACCGCAGGCCTGACCGCAGCTCATTGAGCAGCACCACTGGGTTCTTCTCACTCTCTGCTCTGGATGCTGTCTTGTGCTTGCTTTGCTTACTGTGGCCCATTAAGTCCAGCGTATGGCAGAGTAAGCGTCCGTGTCGATACGCAGTGGAAAGCAACTCGTTATTAACAGGGTTATAGACTGAGAAGTCCTTGCTGTGTGTGGATGGTTCAAACTCCTTGAACAGAGTGTCTGGAAAGTCTGCCTGATCAGAAGTAAAGTCTGTGGATGGGTTGATGCAGTTTCCCATGGCGAAGTGAGCTTGGCAAGCATTGGGGAACTGAACGAATGACTTCAGAGCTAACTCTGCAGCATGCATTTTGGCTTTCTTTTTTGTGGGCCCTGTGCCTTCAAATGTAAGTCCATTTACTTCCACAGCAACAGCAAAGACTGGGGCATGCACCGGACCTGTCTGGGAAACCATTTTATATTGTAATCCTGGTTTAAGTTCATGTAGTTGAACCAGAGCATTCTTTGGTGTCACTGACCACGAAACTTTCTTCCAGATGAGCTGCAGTTTGCAGAAATGGCCATTATTGCCTTCCTCTAAGGGTCTTTTCCTCTTACTGCTAGGTGTTCCCCCTCTTGCCCTCTCAGTAGAGGCTATTGGATGATCCTCCAGGTTGCCAATGTTTCGATTTTCCTTTACTTCTGCACTGCTGGTACCTGTCAGTAAAGAAATGAAAAAACCTCACATTACAGTTGTCATCATAGTAGCTGACACTATGACTAGGGCTGGCAGAACAGCCAAAAAAAGGGAAAAAAAGAAGATAGATATCCTTGCTAAGCCCTTTGTAGGAGTTTTCCTAAAGTAGCTGTATAATGGTTGGTTTATTATTTATAGCAGAGATTCTTTTACATGTCCTGAATGTTCACTTGTCCCTAAAGGATCTATTAGTCACTAGCCTTCTGCTTTTAAAAAAGGTTACATCATTCAAAGATGAAGCATAATGTATGCTATGTGACTTAAATGAACTACTGGATAATTACTAGTCAAAAGTGAATAGTTTGCAAAATTCCCTTAGGCTGAGACTTGTTCTATAATCCATGTGGGTGAATGCTTATGAACACTTTATTAGAAATCAGAAATTATTCACAAATGATTCACAAACAGAAAAATGGGCCAGTGAATTGAATAATCTATTTGCAATGAATACATGGACTGTCTCTGCTTACACCACGGGCTCTTGTGTTACTGACATCATGAATCCAGCCTTGGGAATGATGTGACAGATCTTCCTAGCATTTGAAGCAATAATTTGGTCTGGACTCAGATCCCAGTTCAGTAAGTGAATGCCCTTCTGTCAAATTCAATTGCAGACAGTTCTCGCATCAGCAACAACTAATATTGCAAAAATTGTAGATAAATCTAAATGAGACTAGGAAAAGCCAGAGCATCATGATGGAAGCAATTACTGATGTGAAGAATGGTCTGTGTCAATGAAAGGCAATGGGATAGAGTTCCTGGCAGGCATGGCAGGAAGGGAATGAAGTGATGGTGGGGAGCCTATGGAGGGAACGCTCCGTTGGTGTTGGGCCAGTGAAGCACCCGTAGCTCTGAACCATGCTCGTGCAACATCCATGCTGCAAGGCAGAGCTCTTTGCTACAGAAAAGGCATGTCTGAGAACAGAGATTCACCTCACCGATGTCCTGAGCGAGACACAAAATACACTGCTGTCTAAATAACCATCCTGTAACTTTTGCCATTTCTAATGAGTTTGTTTCTATGTATTGCACCTCTGATACAACCTCCAGTCCTCCTGTGCATTCCTTGGTGCAGAGACAAGTGGAGGAAGTAAATATGAGTATAACCAACCTATGAGGCAACCCAACCCTGGAGCAGTGGCTTTGGCCAGCCATTTCTCATAACCCTTTCTCATGTTTCCATTCCACTCAGAAGATGTCTCTTTAGTTGTGGCCATTTTTTTAAAAAATAAAGGTGAAGTAATTTGATGCAGACATATTTTTTAGCAGGAAGCAGGTTTGGTTCTGTATTTCACACTCCCTCTCTCATCTTACTTAATAGGTTTTTACAGAGCCAATTATGGTACATAATGATATTGTAGCCAGGAAGCATGAAAAGAAAGATAGCTCTTCCTTCACACAATATTCAGGTTTGAAAAGAATTTGTATTGATTATGTACCACTGAATAGGAAAACTCAAGGGGCTATGTGTGTTTATAATTCATATTGTCTTATTCCAGATGTTTTTTCTTTCATGGTCAGAGAACACGGATTTAAGCACATGAACACGTGACCTTAACACCTTACCTTAACCACCCACAATAAAACAGCAGCTAACAAAAAATATGGTGCCATAAAATAAGCATTGCTTGTTTGCCTTCAATTGTGTTCATGAAATTGTCTAGTCCAGGTTTGGGTGAAAAAAAATGCACAGACACAAGTATAAGGCTTCCAGAGATCAGGCACAGAGTATATGGACAAAGTGGGGCATGCATAACAGTGACATGCCTGTATTTATGGTGTGTTTTGGCCCAGCCACAGTGAAGAAAACCCGTGCAAGTATCCTTATAGTCAACAAGATTTTAGAGAACCTGATCCTGAAACACCAGGAAACAGCTCAGTTCTTCCCAGACCTCAGTGGAAGCTGCAGCAGACAAAAGTCATTATGGCATGTAAATCAGAGGCTGCCCAAACTCAGTCAGTGCCTCAAAACGTCTGAGAGCCTGATGGACTTGTGTGATACCTGGCAGCAGCCAGGAAATGGGAAATTGCTTTATACTTTCATGTATCTTTGAAAGAGGAGGTCTTTGAAATGTGTCTTTTATGAGACCTCTGTGTAGCAGACATAAGATTACCTCTCTAATGGTGGCACATGTACTTCTATTGTGAAAATCAGACAAAGCAGGCAAATGACACCAACCTAGGCAAGATAAATACCGTAAGCAGGTGTAATAGAACAATCACAGGCAATTTTAGAAATGAAGAGCACTCAAAGGAAAGGGATAAGTTGGAGGATGCACACAGGGAAAATGCAAAACTGTGGATCATTTTCAGTCCTGTTATCTCTCCTAATGTCTTTGTTCTTGAGTTCTCCAAACACATTCTTTACATTTGGGGAAAAAAGAAATTATGGTTCTCCTATGATGAAAGGTTGGAGAATAATAGCATTGTAAGGGGCTGGATTTTAAAAAATGAGGAAGAAAAATATAATAATTTTTTGCAATAGTTTCTAATTTATTGTGTATGATTTCTAAGAGTCCCACAGCTTTGCACTGTAATATCTACTCAGGTAACTTTATTCATTGATTTTTGCCATTTTACAAGCAACAAGAGACACTGCAATCTTGTGTTTCCTTCAGTAATTGAATGCTAGAGAGGAAAGCAGTTAGTGAAATATATTTATTTATGCAGTATTCCTCAATATTCTGTCTGGCCTTTCATGCTTTTCTTCTTTTGGTCTTTATGCACAGTAGAGTTAACCTAGAAAGTTTGCATCATCAAGAGCATTTCAGAACTATAATGTATCACTAATAATGACACTGTCAATGTCTCTGTGTCATAAAGGCTCTGCAGAACTAGCCAGTTGATACTCCATGCTACATTTGAAGAGATAATATTGTTCCTGTTGAAAGTTATTCTGCTGCTAAGCCAACTTCCAGGGAGGATGGGAAAGGAGAGGTGGTAGGTGGGGTCTTCATTTTGGCAGGTATATTTGCTATTGAATTACAATGGCCAGTATGTTATTGAAAAGCTGTGATACTGAAAGAAAGAATTTGCAATTTCTGCAGCATAGCAAACTCCTGATTCAACTGATAGCTCTGACACATGCAGCTAGTACCTTTAGAAATGTTTAGTGAACACTGGATTCCCATCAATGCATTTTCAACACTACAGGTAAGACTTAACTATTATTTTTCTGTGTTTTAGTATCACTCCTGTTTGACTTGTTTATGTAGAGTACATTTTTGCTGTTCATCTACAAGAGATTGACTGCAGAGGTTAGAAGGACTGACTTCCATAATTTCTAGCATATTTGAAAGTGAAAAAATCTTGTATCAGAAGCAATAGATATGAACCCAGGAGCCAGACATGGCACCTTTGTCCAAGTTCAACTACTGCATCAAATGCAATGTAGGGCAGTCTCCTCTTGCAAGCAAGATGGCATTTTTGTACACTTACTGAATCCACAATGGATGCTTGGGAACTCTTCTGCTGAGACTTTTAGGTTGGTATTCTTGCTTTCAGAGTAATAAACCTGTAGCTAACAACAGAAATCATTCCTTCCTCTCCTACATGAAGACACACAGTTATGTATCTTTAAACCTTCATGTAAAAATTCTATGTGAGCAATGATCTATCTCTCTGTTGCTGTTGAATCCTCCCTGCTAGTTCACAGGGTTCAGGCTGTTAAAAACAGTATCATTAGACTTTATTGGTGTGCAACACCACATTGTGGTGGGAAGAATTACCAGTGAAAAAAGTATGGGACTCTGCTTAAAGTGAAGATGGAAAATTTGTGAAAGGTGATTGCCATTGCCTTTAGCTATTCCAGAATGAAGATACTCTACTTCACCCATTTAAGTACTGGAAGAAACTCTGAGATCCATGCATGTCTAGTACAGATCTTGCCAATTAGGGAAATTATTTAAGTGATCTAATGACCTGACTTAGATGATATTCAAATTCTGATGCTCTCTGCCTAAGTTAACAAAGGAAAGCATACAGCAAATAATATCGGCAGCCCACAGAAGAGTTGGATCTAAGGCTGTGCCTTCTTGAATCAGGACCAGATCAGAGCTGACCTTTAGACATGGAGAAATCCAAATGATGGCAACAGACACAGTTTTCAAAACAAAAATAGGGATATTGTTTCAGTGGAGAATTGCTTGGGGGTCTGACTGCTGGAAGGGCATATTCACTATTTTCTTAGAGTCAAGGTCCCTGCTGTATCTCACACCATGGAAGCAAAAGCTCTGGGGCCTCATGTAGTCTGAAGAGGAATTTGACCAACATGCTCATAACTGAACATGCTTCAATACATCGAATCTGGGGCTGGAATGCATCCTGCAAGACTGCTGCAGTGGTTCACATCAATGTGTTGGGGACCATTGGCATCAGCTCCCTTTGCAGGCACTGGGGAGAGGTATATGCTGCACCAAGCCTCTGCATACATAGCAGCATTCTACAATGAGATCCCCAGAAGCCAAACACTCCTGCTAGAGGTACAGCCTATATTCAAAAGCATCTGTGTCTGGTGACAGTCTGCCCCGATCCCATGGCATAGTGTGGATGGAACGAGTGAAGATCAGGCAGAGGTTTGTAATACCATGAAAGGCAGTGAACAGGGAATGGTTATTCACTGCTTCGTGCAATCCCAGAACTTGAGACAGCAGGCTTGAAGCAATAAAAGGGTGCACTTTTTGACAACACACTGAATCACTCCCTGTTGCTGGCTGTTGAGATCAGAAGTATCAGTGGGATATCTGGAGAGGACTAGAGAGGTCTGTTGATATCTAAGAAATCTAATGTTTCAGGTGCAAATTCTAGCAGAGCAAATTTCTGCTAGGTGCTATAAAGATATACCAATGTCCTTTTTCTCAATGCATCACTAACAACAAATGCTGAACACAGTGTACAGAGCTAAGCTTCCTATTTCTAATTCTCTGTGACATTTCCTACATTCTTAGGTACAACCAAGTCC